GCTTGAGCCTCACCATGGCTCCAAGCCACTCGTCGATGAGGAGCTTGGCATGGTCGCCCTGGCGCTTCACGTACGCCGCCACGTCTGTGAACATGACCGAGGCGAAATTGGGAATGAGAAAGATCGGTTCAATACACGTTTTTGATTTTACGCCTTTTGTGTTGCATGGGCACAGCCTTTCCCACGTACAGAGCGGACATCAAGGTGCACTCGACATCCAACGACGATGAGAGTCTCGGTACGAAGGCGACTGTCGCTGCGCTCGCTTCAATCCCTACTGCATCTCGAGACGACACCAAAGAATAGTGACCCATGCCATTATTTCTTATTGCACGTTATCGGCACGTCGATCTTATGGACGGCGGATAGTGTCATTGTGTCAAGCCATGCAGGAATTCAACAACGTACTGTTGTCACTCGTCGGCGAGTCGTCGACGAGGATGCTGCCGCTCGTGCCTTTTTCTCGAAGTACGCTACGTGGTGAAGATCAGCAACGATAATATCGTTGCTGATCTTCACTAAGGTATATTATACATTAGCGAGAGGCGCCTACTGGAGGTGATGCGGTGGAAACGCTCCTGGCCGGCCGTGTCCCAAATCTGCAGCGCCACGTCGTGCTCGTCTTTGAGGCGCAGCGGTCGCAACTGGAAATTGACGCTACGCAGAGGTAGGAATACAACGAGATATGTATAGCTAGAGGAGAGGGTCGACATACCCTGCTGTCGCCAAGCAGTAGACGCTTGATCGTGTGGGGCTTCTTGACGACCGTCTTGGCCTCGTCGTCCGTGGCCGACGTCGAGGGCGAGGACGGCGCACGGCCGCTTCTTCGACGACAAGCTCGGGCGCTGGCGTCATCGGTTGCCGATCTTGCTGCAGATCGATGGCCTCTTCTTCCGCCATCTGTTTCTTCTCTTCGAGCTCTTCCTCGCGAGTTCGTCGCCCGTGCGATTGCAAGATATGCGACTGGTCATGATATCACGTCATCCGATGACGTGACGTGAAACCGTATGTAGCAGATGAGTCTACTACAGTAGTACAATGTAGCAGATCCATCGTGCACTCGATCGACCAAGTCTTCGTCGATGCGCCAATGTCACTGTGTATGAGAGCTCAAAGCGAACGAGTGTTGCACTTTGACACCGACAGTTATTGCTGTCACCACAATTTGTCGACTCGCGGTCTCTTTCCCAACAGTGGTCTTCCAAAAGTATCTTCTCGAAGCTCCTCGCCGACCAGCTTCAACTATCCAAGCGATATGATATTCGCAATGACGCATTTCTTCGTGGGTGGATTGTCTTGGTCGCTCCATGTGCAAGCTACAATCGTCACTGCTGAATCGAACCGCGGACGCCAGTGCTAGGAATGCACCGTATTGCACGTGCAGTGGAAGATTTAAAGCCGGAATAAATGGAATATACGAGAGCAGTGAAGATGCCCGTATGTGTACAGCCAAGGCTGAGCGAGGGTGGTGGCGTTCTCTGCTTCGTAATCCTACCCGCACTGATAGCTTCAAGTTGCGTCGCGTGTGTCAAGTCGAACGTGCCATGTTGGCAGTCAAAGGTGCAATGGGGCGCTCTCTTGGTTGAGAAAGAACGGGTCGCAGCTCCGTATATCAAGGGTATATAATACTACGTAGTATATGCATTTGTTATATACCCTTGCGTACAGTATATCCACGCTACTGGAATCTCACATGGTCCAAGCCCGATACTAATGTGTGTGGGCGCTGCAGCAATCGAGGCGTGTACCGGTATCGTCAAGGTTTGATGTGCATCGCATTTGAATTCGACCGTCGGCGACGAACTTGCTGCGCGCGAGCTTGAGCGCTACCGGTCGTTCGATGTCAAGCAATGCCATGCCTCTGAGCGCGGCGGCTCAAGTTCGGATGCACTCGCGCTTGGCGAGTATCTTCTTGCGTGACGACGTACAGTACGACCGGAGGGCTCAGCACTCCCCTTCTTTCAGTCCTCCTGTCATGACGCGCTAGCTGCTCGCTCAGCGATGCTCGTCGCTGCCATGTCCTTGCCACCTTGCTTCCGAGAAGCAGGAAGTCGCCTTCGTGGCCGGTCGCTGAGCGCTGCACACATCGACCTTGAAGTAGCTCCAACCCGGCGGGCTACCGCATGCGATGCAAGAAGCGCAACCTCACAGCTGGACGATGCACGCTGTGATATATTGACGTTCTTTCTCAGCCACGAGCATTCGGAACCGATTCGATGCACCTTTAACTGCCAACCTCGCACGTTGGACTGGACACGACAGTCGCAATTTGAGCT